ATCCTGCTTTTGCCGACTTGGTTGTATTATGGGGGCGCCACCTGGTTTTTCAAATCACCCACAAAAAGTTACACACACACACACACTCCCCAGCTTCGGCCCCCAACGCCAGGCATGTCCCAACCCCACCCCCACCACCCCCAGGAGGAGGACCATTACCTGCCCACTCCCCTGGGCGCCGCCGCCACCCCCACCCCCGCCGACGCCCCCCACCTGCCCGGCGTGCTGCGGGCCACCTCGCCCTGCCCGCTCCTCTGCCACACGGGCACGGCGCGCGTGGCTCCTGGGGAAGTGGCCTACATAAACGACCACGACGGACTGCACGCAGTCCGGTGTCCCCTGGACTGCCCCTCGGAGGAGGGCGGCATCACGTTGCACCTCTACGCGCCCCCCATCCGGCGGTGAGCCAATTTCCCTAGGGCATGGTGGGGCCATTTTGTTCCAGCAGCTTGTGGTGGACAGTGGTGTGAAGGGCCGCTTTGGTTGGGGGTGACCAGGGGGCCACGCGGGCTGGTCTAGGGTGCTCGAGCTTGATAGGGCCAGCGTGACTGCCATGCCGCCGCACCCCACCTAGCGGCCTCGTAAATACGACCCCAGCTCAGGCGGCTGCCCTGGCGATCAGACAAGTGTGCAACATCAAATTCCTCCCAACACCCTCACACACTCTCACATGACATGTACAAACACGCATGTCGCTCCCCGCCTGCCCCGTACCTCTGCCGCCCCGCGCTGCGCCGCAGTGTGAAGCTCTTTGAGCCGGAGAACGACAGGGTGGTGCAGCGCGTTCCAGGGTTCTTCACCATGCGCGGCCAGAAGATGCCCGCCGACAAGCTGTGAGGGCAGCACAGGGGCGGCGGACGCGTGCGCGGGTCGCCGGACGGCCCTGCCGGGCGTGAGTCGCGGTCAGCGGCCCGCCCGGCCGTGGCCGAGGCTGGACCGGCGGCCGGGGCTCACGTGCGAGGCCCGAGGCACAAAGTGTGGAGTCCTTTGAGGGTGGTTGTGGGCCAAGACCCCCCTGTTGTGTTTGGACCAGAGGGGACCCCACCGCAAGCTACGCAAGCCCACCTGTATGGGGCGGGCCGCGCCCAAGGTCGCGGCGCATGCGCACACGCCCACCCGCGCTGCATGGTTGTGAGCACTCTGACGGGCAGGATGACATGGAGATGGCGCGCCGTTTTGGGTGCAGCATCTCGCCGAATTGTTCCGGGGATTCGCAACGGTTCGACTACATATGTGTCCCTGAGGGCGTGCCTCCCTTTGTGACGGTGGGGTTGGCTGGGCTGGGTGATTTAGGTGCAACGCCGCCTCGATGCGCATGAACCAGCTTCTGAACACTTTTGCAGCACGAGCACGAGTTTTTTTTGCCCGCAGCATCTGCAATCATCTTGCAAACACGCGCAGCTCCCCGCTTCATCCCCAGCGCGCCGACCACGCCAGCCGGGCTTGCAGCTGAGGTGGCGCAGCTGCCAGGCGTACTCTGACCCTGGCAGCGTTTACTGATCCCGCACCGCAGACCCGCATTCGTCATCAACGGCGCCAACGCCGGTGTGCAACAGCAGCGTGTGTACCAGGACCACCGACCACTCGCGCCACAATTTCCTTCGTCTTCCCCCGCCGCTGCACGCCCTCCCAGTGTCTAGTCAGCATTCCAAAATCTTTACAACTCAGCCCAAGCGACGGCGGCGCTTTGAGCGCAGCCCGCTGGCGAAACACACGGAGCCCTTGGTCCTTTTTGAACCGCTTGGCGATCTGCATAAGCAAGCCGGCCTTTGACCAAGGCGCACAAGCATGCGCGCCGCCTCTCCGCCTGCCATCATGGGTGTTGCCCATCGCTTTGTATAACACACCGCAAGCGCACTCGCATGCATGCAGCTTCCCGTGTCTTCAACCGTCGAGAGCCGCACAATCAAGGGAGCGTAAGTGTAAAACGAGTTGGTACGGCTCACATGCTGTGTTGGATGCAAAATCTGAGGGACAAACCATGCAGAGGGTGCAGTTGCATAGTGTGCGCGCGTTTGGGGTGTTTCGTATGCAGGCCAGGCTGAACCCTGGGCCACGCCTGCCCAAAGTGTCTAGGGCTGGGGCACAGCTGGCAAACCGCGAAGCCGCCGAAAACAACCACATCTGACGGTCGGTCAGGATTGCTGCGTTGTGCTCTCCTGTGGCATGCCGCCGCTGCTGAGATCCCTCCTCTACTTTATTTTTGCGGCCAGCGTGACGCGGGGCTGCTGCTGCTCCGCCTGCAGGGCCCCAAGCCAGGGGTCTCGTTTGAAGGCCCGGCCGGTGTGCAGTGATAGCACCTGGGCACTTGTGACAAGCTGCTGCCGGCCGGGCGCCGCGGACATGGCGGATGGTCTGTGCCTGGTGCTGCAGCTGTTCATCATGGCGAGCACCGCTGGGCGGAGTCTGCAGCGGCTCGACGGACTGAGTCACCAGCACGCTATGAGGCAGGACTCGGACTGCACGAAGTGTTACATTGAGGCGCGGCTCATGACTTACGTTTTTGAAATGTGATGAGCAGTGACTAGCTTCTTCATGTTGCAGTTGCCATCGGGCACACAGCGAGGACGTGTTCGCGGCGCATCAGGTGATGGGTGATGACGAACCGCATGTGAGGCCGTGTTGGGTCATCAAGCGCGTGCGCAGCGCCGTCAACGACTGTGAATCACAGGTGTGAGAAGAAGTGTGCACGCTTGCAGAATTGTACAAGAATTCTGTAAGAATGATTCCAACTCGGGCGCTCGCAGGATAGTGCAGCAGTAATGTTAGACCACGATTACGGCGCCTCTAATGGGAACTTCAATCTGAAGCGGGAGCCGCGCTCGGCGAGCCAGGCCCTCAGCGTGGCTGCGTCCATTGGCACGTCGCGCTCAAAGCTCCAGCGGCGCGCAAAGAGGCGGAGCGTCGCGGTCCGCAGCGCCGGCAGGGCGGCCACCGGCCGGAGGATCTCCCTGGCGCACGCGTTGGGGTGCGGGGCCGCCAGAAGGGGAGGCGCATGGGGGTGTTGATGCATGCGCGCTGCATCAACAAGGAGTTGGAAAGGGAGCTGCTTTGCGACGCATGGCTCCGTCGTCCCGCGATTCTGTCCGCACCCGCAGCCTTTTGGACCAACACTGCCCCCGCACGGACGGCACACCTTTCGCCAACCAGCCGCCACCGTTAGTAATCCCCTGCTGTCCGCCAACTTGTAGCCCGCCCGCCCCTTCGACCCTTGCCCTCGCCGCCAACAAACAACGAGCAAAGCATAAGACGCAGCCGCACCTCATGGTCGCGTCCCGCTGAATTGAGCAGCTGCCGCCCCGCAGCGCCACGGTCTCCAGCCGCGACAGAGCCGCCAGCGGCGCCAGGTCAGCAACAAGCGGGCGCCCGTCGGGGCCCAGCGAGACCAAGTTCATGCCAGACACGCCCAGGTGGCGCAGAAGCGGGAGGCGGCCCACGATCGAGAGGGCACCCTGTAACGATTAGAGTTGGGGTTGCGCAGCAGAGGGGCTTCTTGGCCATTGTGGCGCATCGAACCCACTTTTCCTGGGGAGGCCAGGTCAGGAATCCATCCAGATCAAGTGTTCGTTTCTTCGGGGCACCAGCTGTGGAGGCGACGCGCCCAAGTGGCGGGTCCCTGGCGGCACCGCCGCGACCTCAGCAGGGCGGCAGGGCCGCGCCCTCGCTTTGCCGCGTTCGGCGCAGGGCCTTCGGTGCAGGTTCGCGGCGAGGCAGCAGGGCACCCCAGGACGTCGGCGGCAGGGCGGCGAGGGCGGTCGGTCGCGGGCACTGCCTCGATCTGCGAAGACCTGCAGCTGCAGCGCCCCGCACCTGCAGGTCTTCGCCTTGCAGAAAGTTCAAAGTCGCGCTCAGCTCGAGTGACGTCAGGCCGCCGGCGAGCCCCAGCAGCGGCTCCAACCAGTCCGCGCCGATGTGGAGCGGGCGAAACCCCAAGCTCAGCGCCCGCAAGTTGGTGAGCGCCGCGACCGGCTCCAGCGTCGCGCCGATGCTGGCCCATTTGAGGCAGAGCGACGTCACCCGCGGCGCGAGCGCGGCGGCGAGGGGCCCGGTGAGGGCGGGCGTGCACGAGGTTATGGAGAGCGATGAGAGGCGTCGCAGCGCGCCCAGCGGCGCGAGCGTGGCCACCGCGTCTGCGTCCACGCCGATGCGCGTGCTGCTCTCGGTTGTGTCAAGGTCGAGCTCCTGCGAAAGCGGGAACAAGGGGCACGCGGCTGCTCGAGGGCGGCAGCACGTTTGAAACCGGACCGCCTGCTGTGCGAGCCAGGCAGGGTCGCTTGCAGGGGTGGGATGGCAGTCAACGAGGAGTGCGAGCCAGTTTGCGACCCCAGTGGCTTGCTGGCGCCCGTCGCCGCCGGGCGGGCCAGCGGCGGCCGCAGGGTCCCGAGGCGCGCACCAGATATTCAAATTGGACGCAGCTGTCGGTCGCGGCGTCGACGATCTGAAGCGCGAGCAGCAGCTCGCGGATGGCATCCCACGGGGCGTCCTTGACGGCCACCACCAGCCGCACCAGGCACAGCCGCGGGGGCTCCAGAGTGCCCAGGCACGGCTCGTTGGGGCCGCCCGCGGTCGCGCTCGTCCCGGCCGCAAGCCGCCGCAGGAGCAGCACGGCGGCCGTGGTTGAGCCGTCGCAGCGCTGAGCAAGACGAGGGAGGAGCGAGCGGGGGTCTCACACGGGCGGTAGCGGCGAGCTGCTGGGGGCTGTCGCCCTTCAGTGAAGCCGATGAGAGTGTGCAGCTGACCGGTTGCGTCATGCCGCCGCTGCCCCCTGCTGGGGGTGCTGCGAGGCCGCAATCACAACGGTGTTTGTTGCGACCCCTGGCTTCCGCTGCGCCCACGACACGACCGGCGCCGGCCTCACCAGCGACGCCTCTTCCGCCGTGCCATGCGCCAGCAGCCGCCAGCGCCGGCACACCGGCGCGGCCGCGGTGAGGCGGCCCAGGCTGCCGCCGAAGGCAAGCCGCAGGATCTGCATGCGGCGCGGTTAGGATCGCATTTTGGGAGCGGCTCCAGGGGCACGGCACACGGCTGGTGCGGTGATGCGCGCGGCTGCGCACGCACCTTCTCCAGTAGGTAGTCTGGCAGATCGCGAACGCACATGGCGCACGTGGTCGGGGCGTGCTGCAGCGCAAGCGCTAGCGGCGCTGCGGGGTCAGCGCCAGCAATGTCGCAGCTGGTCATGCACGGAGACGTCATCATCAGGCCGTGCTTTGAAACAGATCCTTGTTTGGCCACCTCAACGGCGCGCGGTAGGGGCGCGGACAAAGCGCATTGCTTGTACAGATCCGGCCGCCTAGCACGAATGACACTATGATTGCGCTGACCAAAACTCAGAACACGATTCGAGGCACTTGACAAGATTTGCAGGCAAGCGGAGCCCCCTGGAAGCACCGATGGTTTGACCCGCTCTGCATGTCACTCACATGCACTTTCCGCCGGTGACGCCGAGCCGCACGCCCACCAGGCAATGTTGAGACCAGAAGGCGTTTGCGTATCACGGCTGCAGCTGGGCATGTGGGCCCTGGGCATGTGGGCGCTGCTTACAGGGGCAGTCACAGCTTGCCTGCGCTCTCCCTCCATGTCTTGCAGGTGAGAAGCTCCAGACCTTTGACGATCCGCCCGCTCGCATTCCAGCAGCCCGCAGCTGCCTGCACCCCAGAACGCGTGTCTACGCCCTCAGCGCATTAGTGCGCAGCCCCACAGCACGCCTCGACCACTGCCGCCGAAGTCGCACGCCACAGGTCGCCGTGCCGCGCCGCCCGCCGTCACGCCCCCGCTCCGGCCCCCGCCCCCGCCGCCGCCGCCGCCGCGTGGTGCTGCAGCGCGCGCGCCTCCAGGTCCGCCTTCTTGCCTCCCACAGTCAGCTTGTGGTGCCGCATGTAGCACTGCAGCTCTGGCGCGGTGACGCCCTTGATCGGCCCCGCCGCAGCCGCCTGCCCGCCCGCCGCGGCCAGCGCCGCCGCCAGCGCGTCGGTGACCTTTGCGACCGCCGCCGCTGAGTCCGGCGCCGCTGCCTTTGGCCGCTTCTGCTTTGGTGCGTCGCCCGCCGCCGCGGCCCCTGCGCCTGCTTGCGCCTCGCCCGCGGCTGCGTTCGCGCCCGCGCTCGGCGCCGCCGGCTGCGGCAGGGGTGCCGCCTGAGAGGGCTCCACCCCGCCCGCGGCCGCGTCCGCCTGCTGCACCTCGACGATGCCCGCCGTGACCGCCGGCTCCGTGCCTGCTGCTCCCGCCGCCGCCGCCGTGGCCGCCGCCGCCTTGGGCGCCCGCTTTGGGGCGGTGCCGTCCGCCTTCTTGGCCCTTTTGGCGGCGGGCTTTGCCGGCGCCACGACACCACCGTTGGCCCCATCGCCTGCTGCCGATGCTGCAGCATCCTCGCCGTCAGCTGCGGCGGCCGCTGCAGGACGTTTTGCAGGGAGTGCCTTCCTCGCGCTGGCCCCCGCCGGCGCCTTCCTGCCCGCCTTGGCGCCGCCGCCCGCCGGCTTTCTGGCCGCGGCTGCCGCACCAAAGACTGGCGCCCTCCTAGCCCCCGCCAGCGCCGGCGCCCCAGGCGGTGCGCGCAACGGGGGCGGCCGCTGCTGGGCCTGCGCCGCATGAGCCCCCTGCTGCCCCGATGGCCGCGGCTGCTGGCCCGTCGCATTCTCCTCTGCCTCCTTCTGCCTCATTGCCAGGAACGACTTGAGCGCGGACAGGTCAGCCTGGGACACCTTGGTTGCCCGCCGCGGCCGTGCCGCCACGGGCGCACCGCCACCGCCGCCCGCTGCGGCGTCCCCTTCCCGGCTCTGCACTTCCCAGTGCCGACTGCCCTCACGGCCGCCCTCGCCGCCCGCCCCGCCGCAGCCATCCAGGTCCTCGGCACACCCGCCGTCGCCGTCGCGGTCGTCGTCGCCGCCGCCCGGACCAGCCGCTGATGCTGCAATGCCGCCGTCGTCCAGCGCCCAGCTGGCGCTGGCGCCGCCGCTGACGTCACCCAGTGTTCCGCGCAGCGGTTCCATGTTTAGGAGCAGCAGGCCGCCCCCGCCCACCGCGCCAGCCGCCGCGCCTGTAGGTGTGGGAGCGCGCACCACCGCCGCCCGCAGGGACGGCGCAGGGTGCGCGCCGGCGGCGCCAGGGGCGGGGGCTGAGCCTGGCAGCGCGCTGGCGGGCGCCCAGGTGGCGGAGTAGGCAAATACGGCTGTGGGCGCCGGCCGATGCTGGTCAGACGACCCTGCGGGGTGGCCACATAGGATCGGCCCTCAGAGCTGCATTGCACAACATCACGCAGCCACTCACTTTGGACGTTCAAACTTATTAGGCACCGGCCCATTGGAAACTTATCACCATCAAAGCTGCTTGTCACACCCATGGAAGCAAGCGCAGGGAGTCAACGCAGCGCAAATCAACCTGTAGACTCAGCAGCCCTCACGACACGCAGCCCCGCTCACCCGCCTCACCCGCCGACCCGCCGCCCATCTCGCCGTCACCCGCGGCGGGCCCCACCACCCCAGCCCCCCC